TTCTGTGACTGCACTTAGCCCAGAGAACGGTGTCTGCCGGTCACCCAGGGCCCCTCCATCAAAATCTGTCTCATCTGCCTTACTCATCTCTTTTCCCTCGAAAGGCCCGCTCCAAAGAAAGTCCTCCATAAAGGTCATCAAAAAGAAGAAAAAAATGAACTTGCATTTCACAGCCCTCATCATTAATTTATTTTTAAAAATCTATTTACATTTTCTGTCTGTATTACTTCTTGTGTGGTAACCCGAGTTGGATAAATTTGTTGTCGGCTGTTGGATGAAGAATTTCCTTTAATTTGCCCTAAATTACTTAAACAGTAAGGGGGTGCCCATCATATTCTGGAATTTGGTGTTCACTTTTCCTATGTGACTCATAGTTTTTATGTAGTTAAATAATACTGACCAGGTGTGGTGGCTTATGCCTGTAATCCCAGCACTTTGGGAGGCTGAAGTGGGAAGATTGCTTGAGCCCAGGAGGTCGAGGCTGCAGTGAGCCATGATCATGCCACTGTATTCTGCTTGGGTGACAGAGGGAGACCCTGTCTCAAATAGTAATGAATACTAATAATACCACAGCTCAGCCTTTGGCTTCCCAAGCTCTCCTTGTAAAAAGTCCTCTTCTCTGTTGCTGCATAGACTTCCTTGGGTCCTTCCTATTTCTCTCCCACATTTGTCAGTGAGTTACTGAGCATGCAGCAGACGCTCAACACATATTCACTGGCTACACGGATGAATGCACGACAGCCTATGAGAACAGCAGTGACTCCTAAGTACCTCTTCGCAAACGTTGGGGTCCTTAACTTAGTTTGGGTTCCCAGAATCTAACCTTGAGCTGAGGATTTGAGGGCAGGTAGTTTATCTGAGAGGTGCAATAAACATAGGAAAGAGATGGATAAATGATCCAGGGAAGGGAACAGAGCTGATACAGTGTAGGTTATTAAGCCAGCTACCACATGGCCAACTGGAAAATCCCTCTGGGAAACTCCAGGAAACAGCTCTGAATCATCCCAGCCAAGGACGAGAAATCTGGGGTATTTATATCCCCAGCCCCATTTGCTGTTATTAGCCATTGTCCCAGGGGATGTTAAATCCTAGGCACTCATGGGCCACCATGCTCATGCGCTGTGTGGGTTCTCATAGCTCGGGGGCAGCCCTCCAGCAAAGACACAGGTGTGGCTGTTGGAAGTCAGGTCGGCCTTCACAGAGATGGCTGGGATCTGTGAGGACGTGGGTGGAATGGGGACAGTCAGCTTCAGTCCTAGATGTAGATTATTTTCCCAAAGCTCTTGTCCCACTAAATTTGGGGCTTTTGTTCTGGCTGTGTCTACAGACACTGCACAGACTCTTTGCTGTGATCAACCCCCAGCTCGCGGCACTATTCCATCATGCTTGTGCAGCCCGATAACATCCCTCGGTGTCACTCGGTTGAACTGCAGGTGGACATCTGCTCCCAACAGACAATTCGATTCTCTCTGTAGGAAGTTGAAGTGGGAGATGGTGAGGCACAGCCTGAGCTGGGCCCTGGGACAGAGGAGATGCGACCCCCCAAGCTGATGGGATGGCCATGTCCACAGGGAACAGGTGAGGCCTGGCTGCAGAGGGGGCAGGGAGCCATGTCCAGAGAAGGAGGAAATAGATGGAAAGTACTGCCAGAGGGCCTGATGCCTTTCCAGGACTCACTCTAGTTGTCTGAGAGTCTTACTTGCCTTGGGTTCCCAAATAACCCAGTAACCTCCCAAGCAGTCCGCTTCTCTGCTTCAGCTGACTTGAGTGGATTTCTGTTACTTGCAACTGCAGTTGATCAAGACCTCGCCCCCAGAGCTCCCCACTGGTAGGGTCTCAGTGTAAGATGTCCAAGTCTTCTGGAAAAGCCTTAGAAAAATGGCACCACATCACACATTACCCATCACAAAATGGCACCTCTATGTCTCCTTGCCTCAAATTGTTAATGGGTTTTGTTTTGTTTTGTTTTTCCTTTGAGACAGGATCTGGCTTTGTTGCCCAGGCTGGAGTGCAGAGTGCAGTGGTGCAATCAGGGCTTACTGCAGCCTTGACCTCCTGAGCTTAAGCAGTCCTCCCACCTCAGCCTCCTGAGTAGCTGGGACTACAGGCACACGCCACCATGCCTGGCTAATTTTTGTACTTTTTTGTAGAGATGGGGTTTCGCCATGTTGCCCAGGCTTGTTCGTGGTCTTTGATGCCAAATTGAGGGCTGGTGATATTCTGTGGCCGCTGAATGGGTGTGGCAGGAACAAAGGAAAAGCTGGTACTCCCTGGCCTTTGCTCTTGATGTCCAGTTCATAGAGCCTCCAATAAAAATAAATGGTGAATAAAAAATAGGTGTGAGGACCGGAGCCCTACAGCAATCACATCGAGAGGAAAGAAAAACCTTGATCTTTACATCACGTAATTAAACATTTATGACTGCCGGCCCCACCCACTGTTCTGCAGACATGCATGTGGTCCTTCCGTCAGCCCATCTTGTTCCCAAGAGAGAGTGGGCAGAGGGCTGGGCTCTCCGGGGTGGCCCCACCAGGCTTTCCTGTTCGTTTTTCCAGGTTGGGCTTCATTGTGACCAGAAGGATGACTTTTTTCCTTTGTCTCAAATTGTCCATGACTTAACTCCCTGCCTGGGTAGCAAATAGGAGGCTTTGCTGGGATGTCCAAGGGTGACCAGTCGCTTCCCAGGGGGCACTTGGGACAGGACTGGCCGTCTTGCTCCTTTCCTTGGTACAACTTGGTGCTCTTCCATCTGGGACTTCCCAGGGGTCCCCCTTGCCTATGAAACATCATTTTTTTTTTTCAAATTCAAATGTTATTTTTTGGAAATTAGATTCTGAGATTGCAACATGATGGAAAGGTTGATCACCACTAGACTCCTCTCTCTCTCTTTGCTTCGCTGGCTCTAATGATAACGATATTAACTAACACTTTCTGTGTGTCAGGCCATATATTACTTCTCATCTATTAACCATTTGTGCCCCGAGAGAGAAGAGATGCCATTATTACCATATTCATTTCACAGATGGGGCATGGAACACAGAAACATTAAGTGACTTGCTCAAGGCCAACAACTTGGAAGCAGAGGAAGTGGGATTTTAATTGAGCCTGATGCCGGATGATGGCACAAACCAGCAAGCTAAGGACTCAATCTGCCCCGTGGGTGATCCAGCCCGGACAGCAATCGTAGCTTGCAGAGCAGAGGTCTCTGGCTGCAGCTCTACCAATGGTGTCCTTGGAGCGTCTGGGCTGGGATAGGTCTCCCCAGAGCCACCCTGGGCCAGTGCGGAGCCTACAGGGTTGCCATACAAAGGATCTGTAAGGAGATGAGGGTTGGATTAGCAAAGTGGCAAACATTTCACTATTGACAACTACCAACCACCCATCCACATGCTGGGCCTATGAAAAGGCTGATTCTGTGTAGCTTTCCTTCCCCTTTGCTGGAGTGGGGATGGAGTGGGGACCCAGTTTATTCCATTCCCCTGCACCCAAGGTTTCATGGTCACATGCATAACATCTGCATTATGATTATCCTTTTGAGAGGGAGTTTTGTTCTTGTCTCCCAGGCTAGAGTGCAGTGGTGTGATCTCAGCTCACTGCAACCTCTGCCTCTCAGGTTCAAGTGATCCTCCTGCCTCAGCCTCCCAAGTAGCTGGGACTACAGGCATGCACCTCCATGTCTGGCTAATTTTTGTGTTTTTGGTAGAGACAGTTTCACCATGTTGGCCAGGCTGGTTTCGAACCCCTGACCTCAGGTGATCTGTCCACCTCAAACTCCCAAAGGGTTGGGATTGCAGGCGTGAGCCACCGCGCCCGGCCAATCTACATTATTCTGTATCTGCATTTGAGCCGCACCAAAATCTTAGGCAAGGTTTCCCCATTTGAGTCCACATCCGGCAGGCAGCCTTCCATAGTCCTTGTTCCACCCATTCCCCATCCTTGTTTCTCCCACGTGCCCTGGCTCATGGGGGCCCCAGACTCTGAGATCCCAGAGGTGTCTTGTTTGTGCCAGCTGCATAGCACAGGGCCCAGCACAGAGCGACTCGATGGGTATTTGGGGAATGAGTTAACACTGAAGGAGCTAATTCCGGTGTCTTGGTGCGGAGATGAGCAATGCGGACAGGCCTCCTACTGCCCTTGGGCCCCAGCAGGTCACCGCACAGTGCCTGCATACCCGTCCACATTCTGTGACTGAGGGGGGAGCACGGGGGAGTCCCTTAGCTCTTAAGGAACGTGGATTTACCTGTTTCAAAGGTGATTTCGTCTGGCTCGAAATTGATTTACCTATATACCTGCGCAGGTTAAGAATGCTAAATGCCTTCGGGCAAAAGAGGTATGAACATGCTGCACTGCTCCTAGCTACGGCACTTCGGGCACGCTCTTCTCCAAGCCTCAGCTACTGGATCTGTGAAATGGGATATTTCCACCTCCCTGGATTCCTGGGAACGCGTCCTGAGGTCGTTGAAGGTAAAGTGCGGAGCCTGGACCCCTGCGCTAGCGCCACCATCCGGTAACAAGTCTCCCCTTCTTCGTCTGCAAATTGGGAAGAGTGTGCCTAAGTTTTCTAAGCACGTGTAGAGGGTGGGAGTCAACTCAATAACTGTGTACTCTGCACCGCGCCACAGTTCACAGCGCCCAGCCCTTGCGGATTTCATTTGCTAAAATCCTGGGAGGTCGCTTCCTTATTCCTATTTTCCAGTTGAGCTGCAGAGAGTTGGAGTTGGTAAATTTGCAAGCCCCTTGTGGAAAGCGCTTGGCGCCGCGCCAGGCGCATAGTAAGCGCTCAATGAAAACTATACTTGTGTGGCCAGTGGCGAGGAAGCTGAGCGTCTCCTTGTCCCTAGCCGGCCCTGGAGGCCAGCGGCCCCGCCTTCCTCGCCCACCAGCCGCCCGCGCCTCAGCCCCCGCCTCCTTCAGCCAGCTGAGCCTGCGGGGCGGGGCCGGGGGCGGGGCCGGTGCTGATCGGTCCTACCAGCGCCGCCAGCCACCTGGGGGCGTGGCCTCCGGGCTCCTGGTAGCCTACAAGAGGCGGTGCGCTGAGCCCCGGCACCAATTCGCATCCCAGGGCGTCTCCAGCCGCCCCCTTTGAGCTCTCTGCTTGCTGTGCCCGCTGTGCCCGCTGTGCCTGCCGTGCCCGCGCTGTCGCTGCTGCTACCGCTGCTCGACGCAGGAGACGCCAGCGAGCTGGTGATTGGAGCCCTGCGAAGGTAAGTGTGACTTCCATGCCTCTCCCTTTTGCAAACTGTTACCCTCCCGAGAAGCTGGAATAACTAGAATAGATGCCACCTCGCAGGGCTGACTGTGTGAGGGCACCACACTGAGTGCTCTGCTTGCATCGCGGAACATAGCTTTGCGACAGGCCCTTTTGCAGATGGAGAAACTGAGGCTCAGCGAAGACAACTCATTTGCCCAGGACCTCGCAGCCAGGACTCCAAAGAGCCGGGCTTCAACGCGATCTGAGTGCAGAATGCTGCTACTTGGGGGCTGTTTACTCTCTTGCCTTCCTTGTGCAGCGCTAGCATTTGTTGCATTCCTGTGTTCGTTGTGGGTGTCAATAACTGGGAAGCTGATGGCATGGATGTGGCAGGCATTAGAATATGTCCTACTCATATCTGGAGGAACAGGGTGATCTAGTGGCATATGCATTCAGCTGCCGTTTGCTGCCACGCCCCTCTATGATTTCATTTGCAAGGTAGCCTTCTTCCCATATTTCAGATGAAGATGCTGAGGGTCAGAGAGGTGAAGTAAGTTGTCCAGGCAGAGCCAGGGCTGGAACCCAGCTCTGTCTGTCTCCAGAGCTTCAAATGGATGTGTAGAGACTTGAGGCCATGTCAGGGTTCTGCAGTTTGGGGGAACACGTTTCTGGGTTTCTTTAGCCAGAGCGGGCACCTGCATAACTCCTGCGTGGGGAGTTACCGTGGAAGCTGAGGGCTCGCTCTGGAGTGTGGGGGACATCAGTCGTCCCATGTGGACAGAGCCAGGGTTAGTCTCTCATGTGCTGCAGACCTAGAGCCTCCCATGCTAAGGCTGGACAAGCCAGGGAGGACTTTGCTGATGCCGGCTCATCGCAGTCCAACTGGAATTGGGCGTCCCTCAGTCAAAATGTGGGTTGCTGCCCTGGCTGAGAGAAGCAGCCGGGAACCCGTGCAAATGCCTGGCTTGCCTTGCAACTGAGAGTGGGGTTGTGAGTTTCCCCTTTGGGCCTTTGGACCCCTTGCCCTGGTAGAATGGGGTGTGCCTGCTTTCCCCATCCAGGGTCTGGAGTCTGACAGTGAAGACAGCCTGCAGAACAGGACCGGGGCGTGGCCCTTTCCAGTAGACTGAGGCCATGAGCTGTGACTGTTGGCTGTCCCAGGGCTCCTTGGGTTATATGCACCTGATTTTCTGCTTCTGCCCTGATCTGGCTGTTTCCACTCAGGAAAAGGAGCGGATGTGGGACTGTGTTGCCCATGCGGCAGGCGCGCGGTCTGTACCACACACTTTACTTGTATTGGCATCGCTGCAACACTCGTGGGCAGTAGATCTCTCGATGCCCACTCCACAGCTGAGGAAACTGAGGCTCAGCAAGGTGAAGTGCTTGCCTAAGATCCCCCAGCTGGTATGGAATGCTATCATCCCCAGGTGGGTCCTATCTGCACTCTTGACCCTGCTTTCTTTAAGACACTTCTCTGCCCACTGCCAGCTCCACCTGTGAACCTGACCTTCACACTGGTGATGTTTTGTCTTAGAGGGGCTCCAGGTAAAACCACTGGACAATGTACCCAGGGAGGAGAAACCAAGAGGGTGATTTTGATTTTTGCAGTCTCTTAAGGTGTAAGAGTAGGAATAGTAATAATACCATTTGTAATAATACAAGCAGCTGACATTTACATGATGTTTAGTACAGACCAGATATGCCCAGGGTTTCCATGGATGAGCTCACTGCCTGCTCTGTGAGCTGGGCACTTTTTACAAGGAGTAAGTCGAGGCTCGGAATTATTAAGGTGTGTGCCCAACATGACACAGCCAGGGCGGGGTAGAGCTGCCATCCAGGCTGGGCCCTGAGCCAGATTCTGGGGGAAGGTGCCCATCTAATGACCAGCCACATGACTGTCACGGCAGAGCTTGCTACTAGTTGAGGCTTTTCGTGCCATGTGGGAGTTTTTTTAACGTTGGCAGGGATCTGGGTCCCTGGTCCTGGCTGGGGTGAGGCTGGAAGGGGATCAACTGCCCCTGAGCTTGGACTCAACACTGCTGACAAGTACTGAGAGCACTGTCCCGGGACCCAGATCAGTGCTGGCTCTCAGAGTCCTGCCTCCAGCCTGGAGAGGAGAGTTGGCTGGACTGGGAAGGCCTGAGCTAGGGAAGAAGACTGTGAGTCCCTTAAAACCTCTGTACTTCATCCCTCAAAAGACCCCAAGTTAAGTATGTGGCCCTTTGTAGGTTGCATTTGCAAGTTTTTGGAGGCAGGATCCTCTGACGTCTTTGGAGGTCAGAAAGTTTCTGGAGGCAGGGCACTGACCTCTTTGGCCTGTGGGAACTGGAACTTTTCTTTCCTCTGTCACCAGCGTCATTTGCTGTGTGTGGGAGTTGCCTGCATGTCTGCCTGCGCCTGACTCAGGAGGCTTTTTCTTTCTTTCTTTTCTTTTTTCTTTTTTTGCAAACGCGCTGCTTTTTGATCAGTCCCAGATGTGCAAACCCAGGATCTCTCAAAGGGGCCGATGGCTTGTCAAGAAAGGAAAATTCAATCTGGGCATAATTTATTTCACTTCGTCTTGAGTTCATTGAGTGGAACGGATGCTCAGACCTTCCTGGGACGGGGACCCAGAGCACCTTGTAAAGTCTTAAATGGAGCACGCCGAGTTCTGGGACAGGCAAGGGACAGTCCGATCTGGGTGGTGGTAATAGGATGGTCCATGTTCTGTTTTTCTTTTTCCTGAAAAAATGTTTGGTGGTAAAAATACACATAAACATAACATGTACCATTTAACCCATTTTGAAGTGCACAATTCAGTGGCATTTAGTACATTTGCAGTATTGTGCAGCCACCACCACTAATTCCAGGGCGTTTCATCATCCCATAAGGAAACCCCCTACCTATTAGGCATCATTCGCCATGCTCCTCCCTTCAGCCACTAATCTCCTTTCTGTCTCTCTGAACTTGCTTATTCTGGACATTTCATGTGAATGGAATCACACAATGTGTGGCCTTTTGTGTCTGGCTCTTCTCACTCAGCATCATGGTTTTAAGGTCCATCCACACTGTCATGTGTCTGAGACCTTCATTCCTTTTTATGGCTGAGTAATATTCCATTGTATTAATAGACCACGTTTTGTTTATCCATTCTTCCACTGAAGGAAATCTGGGCTGTTTCCACCTTTGGCTTTTACGAAGGCTTCTGCTGTGAACATTTGCGTACAAGGTTTTGTGTGGGCATATGTTTTCATATCTCTTGAGTGTTTACCCGGGAGGAATTGCTGGGTCATATGGTAACTTTATGTTTAACTTATTGAGGAGACTGTGTCCTCTTTTTTGACTCTCTTCTTGAAGCATCAACTCAGGCCATGTCTTTCCAGAATGTGTTGCTGGCCTTCTCCATGGGTGCAGGGAAGCCCTGGCAGTCGGCATTGGTGGGCAGTGTTGGCATGCCACCTGGGTCACAGCGGCAGCCGGCAGGGCATCCTGAGCCATCACCCTGCCTTCTACCCCAGGCTGTGCAATGATGGGTACTCTTGGACAAAGACCCCTCTTGCAAGGCTGCGAGGACATCATGGTCCAGCCGAGGGAGATTTATCTTTGATTGTCTTGAGTGCTGCGTCAGCTTAGACAAAAACCACAGAGTCAGAGGGGGAAAAAAAAACAAAACAAAAAACGTCCTGATGAGGATTGTGCAATTTCCGGTCCATCATTTAAAAAAAAATGATAAATTATGAAATCCCACATTTTCAATCCCAATTTCTGGAACGTGTTTTATTTTGAGCACAGAATGGCAACATCCCAGGAAAAAATGTCATGCTCCCATTTTGCTTGTAATCAAGGGAGCTGGAACTGACCCTACCCCCAATTTTTTTGAATAGGGAAAAGACTCCACTGGACCCCTCTAAGGATTGGGAGCTGGCATCCTCTGAGTCTGACTTGAGAAGAGTCTGATAACTCCTAGAGGAAACAGGCAGGGTTTTGCGAGCTGGGGAAGATGGTAGTGGGTGGGTGGGGAGTTGGCGAGGGTGTGCCAGGCAGAGGCACTGTGTATGTGCAAAGGCCTGGAGGTGGAGAAGGGCCTGGGACTTTTGGAGAATGGCAGAATGTTTGGTGAGCCTGCAGTCTATGAGTCAGGCTCAGGGTGGCAAAGGTCTGCCCTGCAGGTGTTGTGATGAGCTGTACCACTTAGTGGGCACCATCAAGATGAACAGAAAGTAACACAGTGGCATTGCACTTAAGAACAGCTCACTCTAGAATGAACTGTGTCCCCCAAAGTGTGCAGAGCCCATACCTAGTGGTCCCCAAGGTGACTGAGCACGTGCACAGATCCAGCAGCAAATCCTCCCAATCCAAGAGCTGTTCTTTCTGTTCTCTGTTCTTTCGGTCCTTCTGTTTATGACAAGGTGAAAGTCACAGGTGGAGTTGTCCCTAACACCTCTCCCACACCCTGATCTCCTTTTACAACGAAGAGCAAGCATCCTCTACAACAAAGCCTGTGGCTGGTATCAGCGCCTGGCTGGGAGAAAATAACTGGGTTGTTTTTACTGTTTAATTTCACTCTTGCTGTCTGTTCACGGCACTAGTGATCAGATTCTCTGCCAATGGGAGTGACAGAAAGTTACCTTTTTAAAGTAAATTTCTTGGAGCCCAAAAAACAAGCCAAGTTAAATAAAAATTCAAAATATGGGGCCAGGCGTAGTGGCTCACACCTGTAATCCCAGCACTTTGGGAGGCCGAGGTGGGTGGGTCACCTGAGGTCAGGAGTTTGAGACCAGCCTGACCAACACGGTGAAACCCCATCTCTACTAAAACTACAAAAATTAGCCAGGCATGGTGGCAGGTGCCTGTAGTCCCAGCTACTCGGGAGGTGGAGACAGAAGTTGCTTGAACCTAGGAGGTGGAGGTTGCAGTGAGCCAAGATCGCACCACTGCACTCCAGCCTGGGTGACAGAGCGAGATGCCATCTCAAAACAAAAATAAAGTATGTACTAGTACTGGTACACAGTAGGAAGGTGGGCAGAACTTGGG